GGCCCTCGAGGTCGGTTGCTAGAAGCTTTCTCAGAACATGCGAGTGACATTACCAAGGAACTTACTGTTGATAAATGCCCATACAAAGAGAAAAATGATGTATGCCATAGTCACAAAAACCTCAGCCATATTGAGGGTGTATGACTTGCCAAACTCGAGTGTCCAGCGGAAAGAAATGACACGGTATGCATTGACAAGTCCTAATGGAATGCGACGCCAAGACAAAGCGCGACGACGGTGCATAGAAGCATGTTCTGGGTCGGAGGCATTGGACATTTGACGCCTCCCGGCGAACTTGGAGTGAAGGAAAGAAATCCACTGAAAGATGGCAATAATAAAAATGAAAAGTGCAATGCAATACCACGCCTGCAGCGGGTACAGATGGTTTCGGGCGCTTCGTAGAGACTTGTCGGTGATAGCCATGAATGAGGAAGAGAGCCTGAGTAAACTCACACCGAGGAGTAGTTAGACTACCTTCGAAGCATGGCTCCTTTATAGTCGTCGACCCTCACATGAAATGAATATGTAGTATATATACAGAAGTGCCTGGAAAAAATAAGTATTTCAAACATTAGTATATAGACTGTCGCATCGAAAGAAATATAAATCTATACGTTATTATACGCACTAATTATTTGGAGGTTGGATTTGAAAACCGGAGTAACTTATCACGTTTGGAAAATTGACTTTACATTATATTTGGCACTCCGCGAGACCTTGAAATTGCTCACACGATTGGACGTGGCGACCTTCCGACTCAACATTTAACTAAAGCCACCTGCCTAGTAAAGCACTGACCGTCTTAAAGCATCCATCGACACTCATCTGCTCGTTGTTACCAAGCTACTAACACATCCTATTGTAACTGATAACGGTCCGAAGCTGCGAGGGCGGCTTAGATTGACTCTCATCGGCTCTCATCGGGCGGCATTAAAGTCTGGATTGGGAATATTCGGAGTTCTACTTCAATGTAAGTCCCCCTCAATCTCCCCTGTGCCATATCTCTGGGTGGGTTGTGTCTACACGCATGGCATGCCAACGCCTCAGCCGGGGTTAACTCGTGAGTCGATTGGAACATTTTCTGACTTGCTACGTCGTAATAGATAACTTTTTTTTGTGATAAAACTCGACAGATCAAGTTAAAAATTAAAATTGGACGAAACAGTCACCCCTGTCCGTGTGATTTGACGCCAGTAATCTGATAACGGTTATCTGATAAGGTACACTCATGACAGCCGCAACCATGTACAAGAGTTCTGATCCAGAGCATTGTACCTAACGGACATATTCGCCTGAATAATATCGTAGGGTCAATAAAACTCTCGGCATCGGCGCTTGCCCTGTCACATCGCAACTAGAGGCAACTAGACGTTTTTGTGATTGTTTGTCCGAAACAGGCGAGACTTGGCATCCTGTAAGTCAATGCGTTTTAAATATCCCACAGTGATATGTATCCACTCCATAATAACAACAGATGTCGAACATTTTCTGGGCAGGGAATATACCTTGTCTCGCGCTCTCGACACAATAGACCGTCTTCGTCTTCAAGCATCTGGCGGAAAGGTGTGTCCATGGAAGTAACCAGCGACGACGACACGAGACTCGTGGTACAATACATTCTGAAGAGCAGGGCAAATGGGTATCTTTCTGACCAATGTACTAATCAATGCCATTGGTCTATCAAAGCTAAGTCGAGAATTTCCGCGTAACCCGGACTCGATTGACATGTTCATTTTTCTCAGAATCATTGTTTGATGTGTCATTTAATCGCAATCTCAGGTTAGAGGGTCAACATATCTTCTATGGCTGGAACGAAATAAGGACTTATCATCAATACCGGTCTATCAACAATGCAGGAAATATGTGCACACCGGAATGATGTGACACTTCAGCCACCCCCCTAATGCACAGAACGGTCTGTCCAGGGTAGATATGTGGCGGATCATGATCCGTGAACTGAGCAACGCTTTCGTTATTAATTCAAACGACCTTTGGGGTTTGATAGTACCAGGCACTGTCAAGTCGAAGTTTTATCAGCACTAATCAGTCAGCCAGCCTTGACCTTATCCCTAAGCCTTGTTCATTTACAAGGCTCACGGACACCTAAGGTGGTCCCCAGATGGTCCCGAAGCGTCTAGCTCGAGACTTATAAGAGTCCCGCATTTTTACTGACATTGGTGTTTGTGGACATGCACACCATACACACTTGACTAACTTCGGTTTGTTGGTGGGAGGCGCTTCCCGAGGTACGCCGTCAATTGTCCAAATCGAAAATATGGGTTCTGACACGACAGTTCGATAGTTCCTGCGTCCCTTTGTCAGTTTTCAAGAGCACAACGGTACGGAGCCTTCGAGCTTCTGATGGAAGTGTTCTGTTGTAGCAGTTGACGTGCACGACAGTTGATGCATCAGATGCCAGACCCTGTGCCATGTCCAGCAACGAGATCCTAGAAGGAAGATATCGGTAAGAGGGAATAAAAACATTAGAGGAAAGGACTAATCGCGATTTAAAGTAACAGGAAAGACATACATATTTACGATATCTTGGGTCGTCTTATTCTACCTGAGAGACAACTACTCCAAATTTCAGTGATGTCTCTGCCTATGATGACCCGCACGACTCTTCGTGCAGCAGGCCCACCCAGGACGTTGACACGAATTTTGAGTCAGATGTCTTGAGTTCGTTTGAACGCAATTACTGTATATCCTGCCGCCGTACGACCGTCTGACTTTTGTTGTGGGAACTTCGCTTTTCACACTTGTACTTTTCAGATACATCCTAGTTCTATACCACATGAGCAACGCTCAATATATGCATCATAATAATAATGTGACTGTCATAAACGGTTTGATTGTGCTACAGAGTGCTACAGAGCGCTCTGTGGCAAATTACGTTTCCCTGATCGGCGTCTACAGTCACATGTATCTGAGATATCTTGATCAGATGTTCACAACTGGAATACAGGAGGTTGGAGCATACAGGCTCGGCCGAGAAACGAGGCCAAGCCGACACGCTCCCCGTGCACTCATTTGTACAGTCCCTGACAATTTGGCTCATCATAATTTACCCACAGTGCGAGATACATCATTCAAGCTAGGGATGACATGACCGACGGAATGAAGAATCAAGTGATACGCTAACAGGAAGGAGCCCAATGAAGGCTGACATGAGTGATACAGTGGTGCGAAAGTAGGCGCCCAGAATTCTGGGACGAGGGACGCAAAGGGACCACAAAAGTGTTTGCGAAGACAGATGTATTTTGAGATCGACAGCTGGGATTGATTGTAGTCAACTTGCCCAAACAAAGCGAAGCTTAACTCGAGCCCAAACAAGTAATTGCACTGGTTTTGCAAGATCGATCTCGCAATCTACCACAAAAGTGAGGCGATCACGAATTCTCACAAGACCCATTCTATAGAACGGCAGCGGGATTTATACAGAGAAAAACTAGCTATAGAGCCAGGTTGGAGCTAGGCCTAGGTGTGCAATACGGCTACTCCTTAAAATAGGCATTACATTTGGTGCTCATCGAAAAAATTCAAAACAATCGCGGACGCCGAACAGAATCAGTGAATGACTTATCCAGCGCGTCGAACACGTATCAGCTTTCAGTCGATCGAATATGACTGTAGCCCCCTCAGATAGGCAGGCCATTGGCCAGAACAATTCACGCTGCCGACTAATCTAGACGCCCCTGAGGAACCAAGAGGACGACATAGAATAAATACACTCTGGTATGACACCCTGAGTCCTTGACACACCTAACGCTCCCGCTGAACCGTATTAACCACCAGGGTCTTCCCCGGGTCCTTATCTCAGAATCAACCTACTGATTTTGACAGTGAAACTTATTGAGTTACTGGAAGTTTGAGGGACAACCCTGGAATATAAAGTTTAAGTGAGTAAATACACTATCTTACTCTGATCATTCTATCGAAAAAGATAGCCAGGCCTGGCGGGTTACAGATTCCCATGGAACACCACAGGCACCCTATGAGCCTTTTCTTCGGATAGGTGCCTCAGAGGTATTGACTACTATCTAGCGTTTGATGTACATGGTAGCGCCGCACCAGATTCCCGACTCTGCTTAGCAGGCCATTCCACTTTCCACTTTCCTGTCAATTTTTTACTCGTTTCCGTCTTCACATTTCCCACTCCTGTGTGCGTATCCTTCTTGTCAGTCTCTGCAACTTTCTTTCTCTCAATTTCCAATACGTCAACACCACCGAAATATTGTCCCTAGCCCATTAACGTCCTGCTCAGTGGAAACCTACCAGTGGCACTTGTCCAATTTTTTCCTCTCACTTTGACACCGATTCTCCCTAACCATGTACGGTCTCTATCACGCCTTAGCAAAAGAGTAAATGGTCAAGAGAAGTAAGAACACACCCGAACGTGATAGTCAGTCACTACAACTGAGTCGTTGTCAAAGGTGACACAACCCGCAAATCACTTACTTATTGCATGAACTACAAAGGCAGCTATAGTTCATAGCTCTTGACAGCCAAGAACAAAGGCTTTCGGGAGAAGCAAATCACAACAGATGATATTCAGGGTAATGAACAGCATCACAGTATATGAGGGGTGTCTTGATGGTCTGCGGAGCTTTCGAGACGAGTGTTGTCTATATGATGCAATCAACGGGGATATTTGGAGTAGAGGATTGGGTATTTCGTCTCCACGCAGTGGGGTTGTCTGAGAGCACATACGGGACCGAATGTGGTGGACAATAACATTCGTCAATGATGCGTGCAACACCGCACTGCCATTTCGAAACGAACATTGACATATGCTGTTGGACCGTGAGGGAACGAGAACTCAAATACAGGACAGATCACTTACGTGGAAGACAATAACGACAAAATAAACACTGCCAACAGACAAAAGAGTGCGTGCTACTGATACAAATTCATGACTGACCCTGCACAATGAATTCAGACAAGAAGCTTCCCCACTATAACCGTGGGAGTCGGGTTTCGCTGGAAACAAGCGCCAAAAATGACCACCGCAGGGGTCGAACCTGCAATCTCCTGATCGCCGATATCGTAGTCAGACGCGATGCCATTTCGCCAGGCGGCCATACTGCCACAAGGTTCAACATATGTCTTCGAAGACGTCACATTGAATACATAAGGGACTATCTAGATGCGTTGTACAGCATAAACATAATAGATAAAAGGCATAGTGGTCGTAAAGTTCATTACTGTCTGTCCTGGTACACTATTATTACAGGGTATGGGTATAAAGTTGCAGAGCATAAAGTTATCCTGCATGAACCATGGAGGTATAAAGGGTGAATAGACACTACGCCTTGTAAATTGTCATTATATCACAAAGAGGATTCAGTCTTCACAGCACCAGTCTGTTGCGGCTCCCCAGTCGGAGGCCACTCTAATCCAACATAAGCATACACCTGCTCGCGCGCCACAGGAAATGAAGCCCTCAGACGGCGTTGGACATCCCCGAAACGTCCAGCTGCCTTTCTGAGTTCAAACCTGTCCCAAGCACGCACTGCCTGCCTAAGCGAGCCACGGCGGCGCGGCAGTGGCCACGACCTTGCACGTAAGGAAGTAAAGCCTATATAAGCCAGCCCTTGGGCTTAGTGACAGGACCTGAAGTATAAGCGGCGCGACTGACCTGACGGACTTGGAGATGCCGTAACAGCGCCTTGCTTGACGGGCTGAGGCTTTACAGACTTGGCGCGCTTGACGAACCCCTTCAGGCACCCGTAAAACCAGAATGCGTGAAGAGGGGAAGACACAGGCCATGATGACGCCTGGGCTAAACGAATCATTCGTGACATTGTGCCGGCTGGCCACCATCGATACACATAGACATATATGAAGAACGATGCGAGTCGCAAAATACGACAATGCGAAAACCACATCTGAGCGGAAGCGGGGATTGAGACTCGCAATGGCCATAACGAAGGTAGGTACCTGTATTAAGTTAGCGCTCTCAATATATGCAGACGCGAGCCATGAGAATTGGAATTTCACCTCCATCACAGCACACAGCGAAAACAGGTGGCTCCAGCCCATACGACAGGAATACCCGACAATGAAAATGTATATCGTGTGATGAATCCAACCTGTTAACAAGTTAAGCTTGCTACGGTAGTAAATCACGCCCATTAATAGGTCTCTAATACATCATATCAGCGCACGTTTCAGGAGCGGAAAACTTGGACTTACGCAACGAGATATGCTTGAAAGAATCGACCGGTACTCTCCGTCCAGAATGTCGACTTTATACCTCTTAAATCTCCACGAGAACTGACGTAGTGAAAGAAAAGAGGCAAACTTGACAGAGACATCGCAGCACTACTGATTGTGGTCAATATCCATGATTGTTGTTTCAGGGTGGAACACAGAGGTGCGAAGATATGATAAGCCGCTATCAGCGCTAGAAATGAGTACAAGAACGCAGGGGGTATCGCATCCTCGATGGACACGTCGAACATGGCACGGACGTGAAGAGGCGAGGAAGGAACCAACTTATCTCCCGCTCATCGACCTGGTAATTTTAAGGAGCCAATGGCAGCTTATGGCACGTTTACCCATGTGCCAAGTATTGAATTCTCGAACTTCGCAACCTGAAAACCCCATTTTGGTCAATACAGGAAGGGGGGATGACTCGGGTGATAACCTTAGAGCCTGCTACACGAACGTGAAGAGACCTACAGTGCCATGTACAGCTTTCTGATGCTACTGATAACTCAAGAGCGCCTATTAGTACTGACAAGTACCGAATTTTAGTTTGTGCACGTTGTTCGTGTCAAACGAACGTGCACGCGACAGTCCTGTGAAAATTTGGTCATGTACAAAAAGAAGCGATCCAAATATTCACCAGCGGCCTTATAGGGCGAATAGAGGTCTTCACCAGCTTCATTGTTCGGTCCGTGTTCAGTGAGTTCGGAACATTTGACTCTTCCCGCCCGGCACGCGCACTTGGCTATATATGTGTCCATTTGAAATAGGTACACTCAGGTCAGTTCGTGATTTGGCAAGGAAACTCTAAGTGGAGAATCTCGGAATTCTGGCGGTCCGTCTGTCCGTCAGGCTTAGCGTAACCAAGGCTTCTTCCCCAAAATCCTTTCCAGATCCCAGACGCATATGTATTGCTTACAAGCTACCATTCGTTTCTCAACCTAGGCCTTGAGGTATGAAAACCTCGTAGATCACTACGATGCCCACTGGTGCCCTCTTGTCTGGTTCGAGTCATTCGACGCCTCGATTTCTCAAACACTCTGTTACCACCAGTACTGGCACGCGCTGCAAAGACTACCTACCCTCAATACAGTACATCGCGCGGGAGCACTGTAATGTCAAATAAGACAACTAAAATGATTCTATTTCATGCATTATACCCACCCATGATGATGTATCAGTAGCCCGGACGGCTGGGCTTATAGGCTACGCCAACTAGTCAAGGGTGCCCGTAGTCTCCCATCATCAGATAGTAGTTCTACACCAAGGGGTGCCGGATATGTAAGTATTCGCAATAGAACCGACGATAATACTTGTATTGACCGTCATTAATCCCAAGATCATCTGACTCGCCTTTGGAGGTATTTATATTGCTCGATAGTCCTTAGGTGTTATCGTCGACTACGTGGAAACTCGCTGCCTCTGCAATGGCGACTTTTCGCAATTCCACCTTTGACAGCACCACCTACGCGACTTTCAGACCGACCTACCCTAGATCCTGTATGACTTCATATTCAAGTACCACGAGCGTACAATGAGATGCAAGATGGGATAGAGCAGTGGATCTTGGTTGTGGCACAGGTTAGTTCTAGCTGTACTCATTTTGAACCATTGACATAATGTTGATAATTCGGGATCTCAGGTCAAGCAACGATCGAGCTTACACCCTTCAAGCACGTCACTGGCGTCGACCCAAGCTCTAAGATGATCGAAGTTGCTCAAGGTATCCTCGAGAAAAAAGCTATTGAGCACTAGGTCAATTCGAGTACGTACACGGGAGCGCAGAGAATCTGTCATTCTTGGAGGATAGCAGCGTGGATCTAGTCATTTCGGGTGCGTGTGTTAGACAGGAAACACTCGGTGGTACTGTTTTTTCATGATGTCTGCGTGGTTGTAGCCCAGGCATGCCATTGGTTCGATTGGAACAAAATATGGCCTGAGCTCGCAAGGGTGCTGAGGAAGAACGGGAGTGCTGCATTCTGGGTATGTATTCTCATTTCCGAAACCATTATTTGTTCAGTCGCTCTTAACATTTTGCTTAACTTAGAGTCACTCCAAATTTCGCTTCACTCGCTATCCGACACTCACACAGAAAATTGACGCTTTCGTCCAAGGTGTTGACCCACTGAACACCATTGGCCTGTACTGGGAACAACCCGGCCGTTCTATTATAAATAACCACTTGGTTGAGGTGCCAGAAGGCAATGAAGTTGTACTCGGCGCGTTCAGTGATTTCAAGAGAGTGTTCTTCACAGGCTTGTCTTGGACTTATCGTCGCGCGACATTGCATTAATGCATCGCAGGTGACCACTACCCATCTCTCCCTTCTCCACGCTCCGTGATCATGTGCAAGAGGATGTCGTGGAATGACCTGTTATCTTACATTAATACGTGGAGTTCATTGCACATGTTCCGTCTGCGTAACCCTGCGGACGCGGAAAACCCGCGTGGAGATATTGCAATGAGATTCTGGAAGGATCTTATGGAGGGTGCCGAGCGGGAGGATGGGAGAACCGTGGAAGGACATGATGAAGTGGACATTGAATTGCCATTGGCAATGATAATGGTTAAGAGAGCGTGATACGATACTTAGTGTTATAGAGGGTGGTAAGCATTCCTTCATTGGTGGCGTGCAGATCATTTGACTAGTGACTATCTAGGCAATTGGAAATACCATGATCCAGAAGGCTAGCGAGGCTGTTGTATCTCTAAAATCAGTTTATTGAATGCAACTCTAAAACACCACACGGTCTTGGACGTTAGTGGACCACTAGTCTATCACTGACAAGTCTTGTCAGCCTGGCCGCAATGAGATCCTCGTCTGAATTCGGCGACGAACCGATTGACAGTCAACACGACCATGCCGGAGTCAACATGTTCAGGTTGTTTCGAAAGCAATGCAAACTCACACATATCCCCCTCCGAGTTGGCCTGCGATGAGATCCACTCGTCGACCTTGCCAGGCCTATCGTTGGCTGTTTTTTGTGACTTACTGAGCTTCTTTATTCAAGCCATAGAATTCAGCTGAACAAGCATCACGCTACAACCTTGATTAGCCTCCAGAGCACGCAAACTGCCAGCAGGTGTTATTGGAGTTGTGAACGAGCCAACGAACGCTTTCCATCCAACTCTGCGCCAAACAACGTAGGCAACTCGATTTCACGTTCATGTGGACTAATTATAGCAGACCTTGGAGATACACTCAAGCTGTTACTCTCGTTAAGTCCGTAAAAGCCTATATTACTGTAACAATTTACTCCTGAGCAGCAGCAACTTATAATTAGGCATAAGCCCACAGCTGGTGTTGAGAGCCCTACCCGTACCCGTTATATACCCCTACCCGCGTACCCGGGTATGGGTCCTCGACTGGGTTTTAATGGATTTGCATCGAAACTAGACTACAAGACATGATGAGCAACTAGTGACTGATACTAATTTTCATGAATCTTCCACGCAAAAAAATGCTTGTCGAGTGTCCAGATCTAATATCAGGTGTTCTTATCTGGTCGTGTTCGACGGCTCGTTGGAACAAGAGGGAATAAAACTATACTCAACACACCTGTACCGCAAGTGAGTATCTACAACAGGGTTTGTGAAAATTTTATCAATGAGATCAATCTCGTTGTTACCCTACTGTATACTAGCCAACAGTTCCTGTATATACACAAGCTTTCAGCCATGCATGTATGTCAAAAATGATGAAAGAGGATATCAAAGTCGATCATATATATCGAAGCACATATGAAGCTGGAACCCTAACCCTAATTCAATTGCGTCGCCGTTCTTGGGTGGGCACTTCAAACGTCAACTCAACGCCAACTTCACCGTTTTCACCAAGAACTTTTACTGTTGCCCGTCCTTCTACTTTGG